ATGCTTGTATAACTAACATGAAGTTAAAGGGGCACTTCCAGTTAATCCTAATCTCTCAACAAATTTACTTTTTGGATTAAAATGACAATGGATAACAAAAGATAAACAATAGTGTCCAATGATTCTTTGGTGCAATCCCTGGGATTGGAAGTTTCCCCTTTAAGTGTTTTACATACCTAATAGGATGTGGCTATACTTAAAGGTTTGAAAGTTGTTCTAAGTGACAACAAATTGATACAGTTTATGATTGACAAGTGAAATCACTTTTGTCACGTTCTGGGAGATTGTAGTGAATGAGAGTAATGTATTTTGCTTTTGTTTTGAGCATGCTAAGGGTAAAAAAAAGAAATCCTATAAGACTATAAACTTTATTATCATTTTACTTTAATTTCTCTGCACTGTAGTTTTGACTTGTGAGACAGTTAACATTCTTTTGTATTAGTGAATTGTGTTTATATTGTTCAGCTCTGAAGAACCAATCAGAATGCTTCCTTTGCAGCATTCTGTGATTGGGCGGGTAATTTGACCCCGTCGGTTAAGCTGGACAGGATTTCAATTGTCCTTGACTGTATTGCTGCAAATATTTCACTATCGAATAAAAATATCCCAATTTCCATGGCAACGTACCACATAAACCCTTGCATCCCTTTCTGACAAATGTTTTCAAAATCAACTACTTCTTTTGTTGGCAACACACCTCAGAAATGGGCATGAGCTACAATTTGTTTTAAACCAATTTATATTTGCGGCATCAAATGAGTATACGCATGATAATATGGCATATACATATTTAGTGATTATAATATGCAAAAAGCTGGAAAAAAATATTTTTTGAAACAAAAATTTATTTTCCAGCTGGAAAGGTAGCGTTTAAATATCCTAAATTGTTATCCCATATGTGTGCATTGGTACAACTAGAATCATTTTGGTTCAATGTTGTATTGTTTAAAAGTACAAAAAATGTAGCACAGATATTTTCACGCATTCAGGTCTAAGTGTCCCCTGTTTGGGTATTTGTTGAAAAAAGTTGCACAAAGAAAGGGAAATCGGAAAGTGATCACCCACGTTTGTCAGTGGAACTCTGAACCCAGACCACAGTGATTTTTGTTGTAGCCTTCTTTTTTTTTTCAACCAATGCGTTGTATGCAGAATTCTTTAGAAACTGAACACTGTGATTTTCAGAAAGAATTACATGTTTGCTGAATGGTAATTGTATTTTGCTGATGAAAAAGACCATATTGCTTTTATTTTAATTTTAGATGATTTTGTTATTAATAATATTTACCAACTGTCAGTTCGTGAGTCTCCCTATGATATGACAAGTACGTAATGAAAATAAACTGGCATTCTGATATGAAATGAACTTCTTGTGTTTTCTGTGTTCTTTGATAAATGTCGTTATCCAAAATATTGGTTGATCTCTCAGGGATGGGTACATGGTGAAGGTTTCCTTTGAAATGACATCTTTATTGCATTGCATTATGTGTTTTGTGTATGAAAGTAAACTGAAGCATTAGGGGTGTGATTGTACATCCTGTCGAACATTTTTTGTTATGCAGTTGTCTACGTGAGGAATTATTTCAAAATACAAATATTGTATTTAGTAAAAGTGATGTTATGTTATGTTCACTTTACAATGCATGTTAAAAACTGGCATCAATACAAGTAATGTCATCATTCTATGAGTTTCTATCTAAGTGATGTCATCGTCTTTGTGATCAGACAAGTAATGTCATCATTCTATGTGTTTCTATGCAAGTGATGTCATTGTGTTTGATCAGTACAAGTGATGTCATCATTCTATGTGTTTCTATGCAAGTGATGTCATCACCTTTGATCACTACAAAATGGTCTCGTCATTCTATGTATTTCAATCCAAGTGATGTTATCATTTTTGTGATCAATACAAGTGATGTCATCATGCTACTATGTGTTTCTATGCAAGTGATGTCATCATTTAATGTCCACTAACATGGCCATCTTGAAATTTCAAGAAATAATGTTCCAGCTAGGTGGTCTATATGTTGGAGGGAGGGATGTCCAATTACAAGAAGACTTTGTGATGTTAAGTAATGTAATTGAACAATGTTCCATGGTGTTCTTTATGTGCACATCTCCATAGAACAAGTAACCTGTAGAATGCTGTGTGGGTAATATTTTTATATTGATTTTTGTTGCATTTGCAGCAAATAGTTACCAAACAATGAGAAATCTATAGGATTGGATATACCTCTTAGCTGGCTTCACATGCATAGTTCAAGACTGCCTAACCGGTGCTTATACCAGGATTTAGTTGCAGCACTGTGGTCTGTGGTTACAGCTTCATTTTCCGAGTAATCACAAGAAATTGACATTACAATAGAAAATAAAAGACTGGCACTCCCATACAATTAATAGTAAGTGAAATTCCTGGAATTGAAACATAGATTTTTAAGTCACTGGTGTAGGCATTGAATAACTTCAAGTTGGCATAAAGACGAGGTAGTTTATTTAATCAGTGCTGAACTAGAGGTTGAAATTATAATTAAGTTTGTTGTCATATAATTTGTTTATTTAAATTTCTCCTG